AGTAACCGGTCTTGGGCTGCAGGGTGATATGACTGTGGCACCTTAATCCAACCATCATAAGGGGAAAGGCAAATCGTACTAAAACGTGTGAATTAAATCATACAAATTCATATGAATTAGCCACTATCTCAAAAAGTTAGTCAATTAAAGACTCTTACGAATAGGCTACTATATGGATTGTGTATAATATATGTATTATAGTATAATATTATAACTGATTGTGTTGTCCACTTGTGATTGGATCGACAAAAACACATCTTAGGTGTGAACAGGGGCTTAGAGGAGACACTAATTAGCTTACTTTCCCATTAAGTCATATTGCACAGTTGAATCACTTCATAAGGAAGCAAAAAAAGTGTGTAATACAAAGAAGTTTAGTGGAGCTCAGTTGTACATTTCTTCGCCTGTGTAAAAGGAAGGTAAATGCTTAGGAGAAAGCGCTGCTGTTCGCTCAACTGTGAAAGTATGCAGTTAGGGTGCGTTTTTACACTGTCGCCACTGATCTGAGTTTATTGGTATTCTTCAGAACCTTCAGGCCCACTTTGAGAGCTGAGAGTCCCAGCAGAGTTAATTAGGCTTTATATTGCTTACTGAAGCAGCGAATCTGTGGCTACACATATCAGAACCCGCTCCACACTCAACAACACGCTTCCATCACAAGGCACGCCAGCACACTAAATCCATCAAGGATTTCCAAAGCCGATAACTGCTGAGGATTCATCCACTGAGCCACGTTTGAAGGACGTTACAGGAGAAAAAAAGAAAGAGGGATATAAATAATTCACATTTACACAATATGAAAAGAACAGAAATGAAAGTCCAACGGCCCGAGTTTGGGCCTGTAGAACACCACTGCATATGGCTTTGTTTTTGCTCATTAATTTGCTGGACCGGTGCAGAGATTTTGGTCCAAAAGCAGAAATTAATTGCTATTAAATGACAGCAGAAGGATAATTACGAATGCATGAATGCACACAGCGTTGTTCTTTCAGGTTAAAAGTAATATAATCACAGGATTTGCAAAAGTTTGTCAAGTTATGATGTAAATTCTTTTGAAAGACATTCAAGAGTTTTTAGGCACTTAAAGGGACAGATTAACCCGAAATTAACACATGTATCATTTTGCATTAGGAATGTCATGCTCAGGGCTGAATTTACCAAAGGACATTTTTGGCACAGGTTCGAAGGTCGTGCGCACTTGGGGCCCCTGTTGGGGGGGATGCCGATTTAGAAGTGTTTATAGCACACCGTGTTGGAATAAACTATTTGAGCGATTTCTGTCCATCAGTGTTTGATTAACAGAGCACCACTTTTAACAGCTTGAGTGGTGTAGCTTGTTAAATGCACGGCAACATGTTTTGACCATAGAATGTAAAAAGATATGGACGTAGTACCGTGACGTCACCCATAGGTTTCTGAAGAACGTAAAAGAAGCTACACATAGACGTGGCCAATCATCGCCATTTTATTTGCGCGTCATCGCACCAACCGGGGAATACCAAACAAGGGCAAAGAGCCTGCTTGCATTTAGCTTAGACAGGTTTTTCTTTGGGAGAAATGCTTAATACTTCATTTTCTGTGACTCATTTGTGTTCTGACCACATGTACTTAGTTATATGCTATATCAATAAAGTGTTTCGTCTTTTAAAAACACTGTTGTAATACACTGAGCCACTAAGAATTGTTTAAGACATTTTTCAACAGAAGGAAAACGCAAATTACTTCCAAACACTTCAAATATAGTCTGTATTAGTAAATGTAAGACTATTTATAAAATCCAGGCATAACACTGTATGACAACAGTTCAGATGACTGTTCTATAGCATACAGTTAATTAATCTGTCAGATTCTGAAGTGCATTACGGGTCTAAAGAAAATTTTGAACGATAAACGATCTTAAATAAAACAAATACATTTATGGATATGGTATATAAGTATATTATTTCACTCACATGGGAAACAGGGGTAACTTGAATGGCTTGTGAGCACAATAAAGTGCACGCAGCATGCTGTAGTATCTGATAATTGTAGAAAATAATTTCAAAAAGCAACTGACTGTGTAACGCCACATAAAACAAAAGAAAAATATGATGTATATGCTGAGTTCAGCAGCTAATCAGCCGGAATCAGCTGAGGTGAAATGACCAGCGAGACCTAGCTGTCACTCAAGTGGCCACGCCCTTAATTATGCAGATTTAATATAACTTGTTATAAATTAAATGAATGAGTTATAAAAAAAATTCACCCCCTCACAGTTGTCTTAAAGTGTAATATTAGTAATATGAACCCAACTGTTCTTTGTACCAGGCTGCAAACACCTTTTTTTCTGCTGTAAAGTTAGTCATTTTAACAGTGGGGTCAATAGAAATTTGCTCTATATGGAGGCAGGTAAAGCGGAATTTCGATGAATTGCAGTTTCAGTTACTTCCGTATTTGCTTCACAAGAGAGAGCGGGAGGTTACGACTTGGTTTTAACGCAATCGATCATCAACCCAGTTCAAATCCAGCGTGTGATGAACTATTTTTTTTCTTTTTTCCCCATTACAAATTAGATCGAAAATACATTTATTTTATTAAAATTTTTTTTTTTTTTTTTAAATATGAAAATAATGAAAAAGTCACAAGTGGCTCAACAACCAGTTAAAGTCAGAATTATTAGCCCCCCTGAATTATTAGCTCCCCTGTTTATTTCCCCAATCTCTGTTTAATGGAGAGAAGTTTTTTTCAACACATCTCTACACATAATAGTTTTAATATCTCATTTCAAATAACTGTTTTTTTTGTTTTTGCCATGATGACAGTAAATAATATTTGACTAGATTTTTTGGAGGACACTTTTATACAGCTTAAAGAGACATTTAAAGGCTTAATTAGGTTAATTAGATTAACTAGTCAGGTTAGGGTAATTAAGTTATTGCATAACGATGGTTTGTTCTGCAGACTATCGAAAAAATATATATAGCTTAAAGGGGCTAATATTTTGACCTTAAATAGGTTTTTAAAAATTAAAAACTGCTTTTATTCTAGCCAAAATAAAACAAATAAGATATTCTCCAAAAGAAAAAATATTATCAGACATACTGTGAAAATTTCTTTGCTCTTTTAAACATCATTTGGAAAATATTAAAAATAGAAACCAATTCAAAGAGGAGCTAGTAATTCTGATTTTCCTCTTACCAAATAGTTGCCACTTATTATTACTATTATTATTATCTTTATTGTTAAATTGTCCGAAAATAACACCATCAATGAAAAGCACGTTTTCATTGCAGATTCATCAGCAGATTTTTTTCTCTTTCTTTCTTTCTTTCTTTCTTTCTTTCTTTCTTTCTCTTTCTTTCTCTCTTTTTTCAACTAAACAGAATGTTGTAGTTGTATTAATTTTTTTATCAGTGTGCTGTAAATGCTTTAAAAATAAGTTAAATCTTTGTAGACTAGAATTATATGTACTATATAATTTATTTTAAAATGCAGGCAATACAGATTTGTTTTATTTAAAAATCATTATATTATTCTTATTTTTTAATTCAACTATAGGGGTGCGGCCGGGTAAGGGGCCCTACAAGACAATGTGCCCAGAGGGCTCTAAATTCTTAATCCGGGCCTGGTCATGCTCTATTTGCAGTGGCTCTTGATTACAGGTAAATATGTTTAAAAATCTTACATCACAGATAATAACCGAGTTTGTTATCAGAAGCAATGGGGGTATCATTAGTTTTTTTACCAGTATATCAATGATCTCAAACTCGACTCCTGGAGGGCCAGCTCTGCACAGTTTCGCTCCAACCCAAATCAAACACAGATGATCCAACTAATCAAGGTGATTAGGACTACTATTGGCTATTAAGCAGGTGAGTTGAAGGTGGTTGAAGCTAAACTATGAAGAGCTGTAGCCCTCCTGGAACTGAGTTTCAGACTATTGCTGTATACGTTTTTTGACTCTCGAAGTGCAGGAGCCACTGGTTGATAATAAATAAATAAATAAATAAATAAATAAATAGATAAATAAATAAATACTTTGGTTCTTAATAAAAAAAATCCTAATTCACATGAGGCCTCTAAGTGTGCAAAAAAAAAAAAATTGCATACTACCTTTAATTGCAGTTAAATTATACAACTGCTCAATGAATTACACTTAGTTTTCATATTTTTATTTATTTTATGCCAAATTCTACAGATTTTCTGAAATGTCTCAGTATGTTTTCTGTTTGGTGAGTCAATCATGTCATTGTTAACATAATTTCTTGCATTTTTATTATTACTTACAATGTCACACAGCCTCTGGTTAAAGGTATAAACCAAGCAAACTGGGATTGATTGCTTCATATCATTCAAACGGCTCTTTCTGTCTAAGTGGGCGTTCTTGACTAAAATAAACTATCGACCCGACCTTTAGCAGTCTAGTCAAAGGTCTGGCTATATGCGAGACAACCATATATACCTTATAACACTCACATAAACAATAACATCGTTTAAATAAGTGTTTGCAAAATGATTGGCCAAATCACAAGCCTTTTAAATCCCAATGAGCCCTTCTTAAGTGTTTTTGTAATATTAGTTTTCATTATGTTTGTGAAAACCAAACCCACACACAGGCTGAAAGCATTTTAGGAATCCATTGCATCAGTGTCTTGCATCACACAAAAGATTAAAACAGATAAACATTACATGATCTATGAAAAAAAAATAATAATCTCTATGTGCGCCAGTTTAGCTTACTTCATATGCGTAAATACTTTCTGGTTTAAGCCTGACAATTTGCATTATGTATCAATGTGAGAGATGTCTTATACGACGTTTTAATGTCATGTTTAAATGAGGATGGCAACAGGGCTCGTGAATGACTTTGTAAATCAATTACCTTGTCCCCATTTCTATATTGGCTCAGGTAAGCTGCGGCACGCAGAGTGAGACCACTATAAACTAAAGGTGAAATCGGCGCGTTCTCGAACAGTGTGAGGGGCGCGAAAGCAAGCATATACTGCCTCTGTGCGTCTTGCGCTCTCTCTGCTCCACGAACACCGCTCGCTCGCGCACGCGGCACCAGAGAGCGCGAGACCTGGCAGCGGAGAGACCTCGGGGAGGGAGAAAAGGAGTGTGCTAGTGTATGGAGAGAGCGAGAGAGAGAGAGAGAGAGAGAGAGAGATTGGGAAAAGACTACACCACCTCTATCCATCAGCTGAGCATCCTGCGGGAAGTCACTTCGAGCGCGCGAGCGGTCGGTGCGGCATTTCACTCCGTCCGAGCAAAATGGATCATTAAACAGCGCAGGATGTGACTGAGGGACACATAAGCAACTAAACTCTTATTTTTTGCGCCTCCGGTCACCCTGGTTATACCACAAATATTGTATTCTTTCACGTGGGTTCTTGTTTGCCTTTCTTCATTAATGTGCGGATTTTTCGGCGAACACTTTCGAAGTGATGTCAGGAGGAAATGTGACAAATATAGCCGAATGAATGAAAAGTTAAAAGATTTTTCATGGGTAAGTAACAAAGAACACAACTGCTGAAACGAGTTTGCTGGATTTTATCTGAATGCGAATTTACCATTTTTGCAATAATAATGATTGATCGTGACTTGTTTATATTTTGCGATATGTCTTCATGCGCATCTGTGAATAAATGTGGTTAACACTTAAATACTTGGTTGTAGAAAAGAAAGAACTACAACATTGGCCGTGTGTAGTGACCAATGTTTTGTAGCGTTTTATAGCTTTGCATAAAAGCTCAACAGGTTCGCATCTGTTTCAAACTGCAGTTGCTCAAGGGCTCTTGTGTCGCGAGCACAATCGTGCCCTTTGGAGTCTCTTACTTGAACTAGGAAATCAGTTTTTTTTTTCTATCTCTCTGTTTTAAGAAAGGCATGATGTATGCTGTTTATGTTGAATGCTACACGTAAAACCAACTTAACAGTTTTGTGTTTTTTTTAACTATGCTGTTGATGCTTAGCATTTGTTTAAAACAGTACAGCTGTGCCAGAATACAGTACAATAGTGTTGGAATATACATGAATGCATAGTATGGACTGTAATTAATCTATAAGATATGGACAACGGTTTTGTTAATTTGCTTTTGCTTGTGTTTTTTTCCTTTCTTTTCCATTGCATCTGTACCCCCTACCTCTCTTTGTCTTTCATTTTTCATACTTCTTTCTACTGTACACTACGTGATTGCTTCCCTTTTACCTCTGCCTCTCTATTCTGCTGGCATCCTGTTCGCTCTTGCCGTCTTTTCACTCCCATTTCACATCTGTCTCACTCGCTCCCACTGGAACTCTCTCCTCTTCCTGTCCTCCCACATTTGCCAACCTCTCACTCTTGTCTGTGTTCCCATTTCCCTGTCTCTCTCTATGTAGATGGGGTCTAATCTAATGTCAAGCTGGTTGTGAAGGTGTTTGATCTGGTCCCCTCGACCCCATCCGGAGTCCCCATGGCTGCAGGAGTAGCAGCCTGGCTCCCCTTCGCTCGGGCGGCGGCCATAGGATGGATGCCCGTGGCCAACCTGCCTATGCCTGTTGCACCATCCAATAAGAACAAGCGACAGGATGAGCTTATTATCCTCAACGTCAGCGGGCGACGCTTCCAGACATGGCGGAACACGCTGGACCGATACCCCGATACACTCCTGGGGAGCTCAGAGAAAGAGTTTTTTTTCAACGAGGAGACAAGGGAGTATTTCTTTGACAGAGATCCAGATGTGTTCAGAAGTATTCTTAACTTCTACCGCACAGGGAAGCTGCACTACCCACGTTACGAGTGCATCTCTGCCTACGATGAGGAGCTGGCGTTTTTTGGAATCATTCCTGAGATCATCAGCGACTGCTGTTATGAAGAGTACAAGGACCGCAAGAGGGAGAACACTGAGCGTCTAATGGATGACCTTGAGGACAACAAAGACAGCAAACTCCCTAACATGACTTTCCGTGAGACCATGTGGAGGGCCTTTGAGAACCCGCACACTAGCACCATGGCACTAGTTTTCTACTACGTAACCGGATTCTTCATCGCCCTGTCCGTCATCACCAACGTGGTTGAGACGGTTCCTTGTGGTTATATGCCAAATCAGAGGGACGTCCCTTGCGGGGAACGCTACACTGAGGCGTTTTTCTGCATGGACACAGCTTGTGTTATGATCTTTACAGTGGAGTATCTGATGCGACTGTTTGCGGCGCCCAGCCGGTACCGCTTCATGAGAAGCGTGATGAGCATTATCGATGTGGTTGCCATTTTACCATATTACATCGGGCTCGTCATGACCAACAATGAGGATGTGAGCGGAGCCTTTGTCACACTACGGGTGTTCCGCGTCTTCCGGATCTTTAAATTCTCCCGCCACTCCCAGGGTCTCCGAATCCTTGGCTACACACTGAAGAGCTGCGCCTCAGAGCTTGGCTTCCTCCTCTTCTCCCTCACCATGGCCATCATTATCTTTGCCACAGTCATGTTCTATGCTGAGAAAGGCTCATCGTCCAGCAAGTTCACCAGCATCCCGGCCTCCTTCTGGTACACCATTGTAACCATGACAACACTGGGGTGAGTCATTTTGTCTTGGAATGACTTTCTCTCTGTATATTTTTACACTTTTTAACCCTGGGCGGACATCAAGCCACACCCCTGATGCATTTCAGTGGTTATGTCATGAAGGGATAGTTCACCAAACACACTCAGAAATGATGTGGAAAATGTGTACCTTTAGGGATACTCTCAGAAAAAAAAAGGAGCAAAAGCTGTCACTGCAAGCGGGGAAGTACCTTTTCAAAACAAAAAACACTAATATGTACAAATTGGGTAAAAATATCTGAAATTTTAGGGGTTAATTTGCAAAGGTCAAAACATTTGTACCTTATTTTAAGCATTTTATAGGAGTTTGTTACAGGTGCAGCACATTTGCAAGAGACATCCTTCTACCTGATTAACCCCTAAAATCTTCATAGTAGTACCTTAAGAGTATACAGTATATAACTATTTTAAGCTACTAATATGTACCTTTTATTAGTACACCCTTAGAAATAAAGGTACAAGAGTTGTCACTGTGGTACCTTTTCAAAAGGTACACATTTGTACTTGCAGGGTGCATATTGGTACCTCAGAAGTATATATTAGTACTTACAAATTTTAAGAGGAACACGCTTGTACTTTTTAGGTACCAATATTTATCTTTGAGGTATTAATATGGACCTCTTAGGTACACATTTGTACAGTTTGAAAAGGTACCACCCCAGTGACAACTCGCGTACCTTTATTTCTAAAAGTGTAGATGATGGAAAATTTGACCTTGCAATGGTATTGTCCTAGTGACAAGCTTAAGTATTCCTAAAGATACAGCTTTTCTCTCAGTTAAAATAAAACAAGTCTGTCATGACTTACCCTAATGTTTCAAAAGTGTATGATTTTGTAGCATGAAAGGTTTTTTTGAAGAATGTTTTTATTCATACAATTAACTAGTATTGAGTGGATTTGAGCTCCACTGGCTTCAAATGAATAAAAAAGCTCTTTAGAATATCTCCTGCTGTGTTACCCAGAGGAAAGTTAAGGCCCCGTCCTATTTCTGCCCATTCTCATAACCATTTGTAGGTAGATATCTAGATTCTCTTTTGGTGAGATTAGTATGGGGTAAAGGGAAGTGCCAGATAGCCCTTCAAAGATTCTTGGACCTAATATTAAAGGAAAGTGAATGGTAAATTCCCTGGAAATGTAAGTACACTTCTCGTCACTCTGTGAGAAGGAAGAGGTGTTGGAGTAGATGAAGGAGTATAACCTAGAATTCAGATTGGGCCTTAGTCAAGCAGGTTTGGAACAAAATCTTTGGGTGAACTATCCCTGTAAGTAGGCCCACTCTTAAAAATAAAGGTATAAAGACTGTACCCTACACTTTTTGCACATTTATGCACACTTTAGGTAATAAAACATCCCTTTAAGGCATGGATCTCAAACTCAATTTCTTCAGCTCTGCACAGTTTTGCTCCAACCCTAATCAAATACAGCTGATCCAAATAATCAAGGTGTTCGAGTAGTCTTGAACACCTTGATTAGTTGAATCAGCGTGTTTGATTAGGGTTGGAGCAAAACTGTGCAGAGCTGCGGTCTCCAGGAATCCAGTTTGAGACGTATGCTTTAAGGTACCAGTATTAACCGATTATGTACAAATGTGTACTTTCTAAAGGTACAAAGACAAAAACAGTTTTTTTACCTTTATTTTTGAGTGTATGTACAAGATTTAAAAAACACAAGAGCAACAGAAAAGAACACAACTGGTTACAATATTGCTTTACACTCCATCTGTGAAAGAGAGGCTGTTTCCCTGCAGCTTGTGGATTTTCCTTCTTTTCTGAGTTAACTGCTATTAGCATCTAACCCTAATGACCATGGTTGCTGACTGCACTCATGCCTGCCCGAAGCAGCGGTAGGTTTGAATTTAACTTCCTGCCCCAGGCTAGATTTTATTCATCCCTATTATGCACCAATTAATATTTAAGCATGTGTGAAGCAAACAGAGGAACATCCTTCAGCATTTTCCCCTCCACATTAACAACAGGCAAGCAGCTGCAGAGCTGTAGAGCCCCATTTAATACAACCCGCCCCTCATAAATCACAGGCCGTTTATTTGTGTGTTCATGACGGATATGTGTGGACGTTTGACACGATTGGTTTTAAGAGCAAGGGTAGAATTAATTCAAGCAATTAGTTTGAGTGATTACATGGCGGATGACTTGAGTAATCGACTTTATACTATCAGCAGCTAGGGTATATAGCTGCCGTGTCACTGTGGCTTTGAAACTGGAGCTGTAGTCAAAACAGGCTTTGGCTTGCTGGTTAGACGGTTGATGATTGGCGGAAGCACCTGACCGTGAGCCCAATGACCCCAAAACATCAAGATCAAGGACTTAAGTCAGTATCTCATGAATGTTACATTGGCAAATGCGTTGGTCCTTGGAGAATGCAGTTGTGTCAGGGGTCAAATGTAGAATTACAGTTACACATGTCTTACGTATTCATGCTTTCATTTTTTTGTGTAAACTACAGTTTGTGAATGGCTAAACCTCTTAAAGATCCTTGTGAGCACCATGTTGAACTATAAACCCTAGGTATCATGCTTGTTGTGATAATCTGCTGGCTAGTTTTACATGGATTTCAAAGTAGCCCATATCTCATTACTCATTACTACATTCACCCCAGAGATCCAGTCTCCACCCGCATCTGAGACTTGACCTGAGATCGAGGGCGAGAGAGACTCTTCTCATCAATAAAACACAGCTTAGAAGTGTGTGTCACTGTGACTAATGTTCTCAGGTACATGTGCTGAACAATGTAAACCACTATGACATTTCCAACCTCGCTGACGTCATGTAGTCTCACTGTCTGTGCGTGGGGGTGCTTCCCATTCAGTTGGAACCAGGGTTCGCTTTCACGTCCCAGCAGTTTTTTACAGTTGATTGTACCAGGTTTGTATCACTTTGCAATACACCTGTTGATTCTGAGGCCTCCTATCTGTGCTCCTGACCAATGCAATGGTGTGCTTTACATGCCTGGTGCTTCTCTTATTCAATGATTCGTTCATGCTGAAGTGCGAGATACTGGGGTCTCCACCTCAATCTGTCAGAGTAAAACGCAGCACTGCAGTTCAGTTTTGGTGAGACTGAGACATTCTCTTTACATGTAACACACAGACCTGCTGCCTCATGAACACACGCCTGATACTCTGCATGTTAGCTAGGGGAACTACAGCAACAGTTCATCAAAAAAAATCATGCTATATTGTGTCTGAATGGTTAACTAGTCTTCTCAGTACTGTCGTCTGTCTGAAGTGTTTTCTTCCTTCCTGGGAATTGTTTACACCAGTAACATTTAATTTAGCTGCTCTACTGTTGAATTTCATGGCTCTGTGTTTTGTCTTGGCAAGACAGCACACTAAGAGCTGAAAATAAAGCAAAAGAAAGAGCAAAGAAATGTATTGCTTGGACAATGTGCTGTCTTAGTTTTAGAGAGTTTGAGTTTTTCGGGTAAAGTCAATTTTGTGGTACTTTAGTATGAGGAACGCATTTACTATTAACTACAAATTCTCCTAATAAACATCTTATTCACTAAATATTAATTGGAAGGTAGCTGTTGTAGCACTGTAAAATATTAATTAACAGCTGCATATATGTTGACATTTTAACTCCACAATTAATAGTCACTTTAATTTACTGTTTTTTTTTTTTTTGTTTTTGTTTTTTAAGTTTGGGGTTAGTAGGATTTTTAAATGTTTTAAATTAAGCTTATCCTGCTCACCAAGACTGCATTTATTTCAGCAAAAATACAGTACAAATTGTAAAATTGTAAATGTTATTGCGCTATAAAATAACTGTTCAAAAGTAGTTTATAATTTCATTTCATCATTTAATCCAGTGATTTTAATAACACATTTTCAGCTTGATTACTGCAGTCTCTTCAGAGCCACATAATCCTTTAGAAATCACTCTAATATTAATTGTTATTATTATTATTATTATTATTATTATTATTATTATTAAGGGTAATTTTTATAAAAGCAACAATGACTGGAGTAATAATTTATTTTGAAACTTTATACAATAAGAAAGCAGTTATTTAAAATCTTTATAAATATTTAACAATCTTTTTTTTTCTGTTGAACCCAAACGAATATATTTTAAAGATTGTTGGAAATATAAAACCATTGACATTCATAGTAGGAAAAACATACGAAGGAAGTCAATGGTTACATATGTTTTTCCTACAATGGATGTCAATGGTTACATGTTTACAAAAAAAAAAAAACTCATTTGGAACAAGTCAAGGGTTAGTGAATGATGTCAGAAATTTATGTCTAAACTATTAACTCAAGGAATGTAACATTTGGTTGTGCAGTATTAGGCATTAATAAGTGCTTTATAATTGTTGATAAATAGCCAAAATAAATGCTAATAAGCAACTAGCTCAAAGGGAGACAACAATGTCTTAATATTTTGTGTAAAAACCACCATTCTTCTAACTTCCCGTGAATGCACTAATATTAATATAATTTATTTTTATAAGACTTGTTTTTTATAAGCTAGTAATTGTTTATGTGTTCTTGCTGATTACTTTTGTCATCAATTAATAGTCATGTAAAGTTTATTTAAATGTTAAAAAGGGGAAACAAGCTGCACAACTGAATTAAAATTACAATAAAATATGTGCTGGCAAACGTCAATAAATAGATCTGACAACTACATCACAACTAGGCATGGGCCAGCATAAGTTTCTGATGGTATGATAACCTTGGGTAAAAACATCACGGTTTCACGGTATTGTGATTACCGCTCTAAAATATATTCTTTTTTAATTGTCTGGGTAAAAAACAAAAAGCTTTTTTCCACTTTGAACACAATATAATTCATGTTAAAGTGAACCTGAAGCTGCGATTTTTATTGTTTTCGTATAGTGACGCAGTTCCCCGAGAAACTGAATTTTAAAGGAGCAAACAGTGGGCAAGGCTTGTTTTTTCTACTGAAAGCTGAATGGATGTAATGTAGGCATTTCATTCAAAAAAA